AGTCATTCTCAACCCTGGCTCCACCTCTACTAGGTTTGCTTCAAAAATGTACCGACACCTGCCACCCCACTCTGAGTCTGACTGAATTGCTACAAACAAGGCAAAGGTATCAGCAAACTTTTTAAAGTTCTCTAGGTGATTTCAATGTGCTGGTAATGAGAATCACTAGATTAACATCCCCTGGGGTAGACCCTAGCAGGGACTCTCATCTGGCTAATTCAAAGTTGGTGGTTTCTGCAAGCCTAGGGGCCATTAGCAAAACTTCCTGGGATTCAAAAGTCAGTAGAGGCAGCGGAAATCTTTGATGAAAACAAAAGCAGAGGGCAGCAGGACTTGCAGTAAGTTCCCTGGGGTTTACTGTCCACATCTAAGTCTGGGCACAAATCAACATACTATTCAGACACCCATGGTGTAGGCGGAGGACAGAGCAGAGCCTGCCAAGTCAGATAACAGGCTAGGCAGAAGCTCACGACCCAGGGAACATTCACAGGTCAGGCAGCGCTGGGTGAGTCCAGCTGAGAGTCTGTGAAAGGAGATTCTCTCTACTTCCCTGCCTCTGGTTCAGAGAGCACGGCTGCAGGTTCAGGCCACATTTGTAGGACAACAGGGCTGAGACCTCAGATCAGGGGGATCGGAGGAAGACAGAGACCTAAAGCAGCTCCCTCTTCCAGCCCCTGCCCCAAGCACTCCCATACATCTGCATTTCTGCAAAAAGACCTACCAGGAGGGTGAGCAGAAAGAAGTTTCTCCAAAATTCGGTGGCTTAATAACCATTTTCAGTGTTTGGTGGTTCTTGGTCTCTGTTGCACCCTGGCAAATTTTAAACTACTAATGTCCAGGCCTCTCCTACCATGTTGGGATTCAGTAGGCGTAGGGGGAAACCCCCGCACAAGTAACTTGACAAAGTAAATCAAGGGATTCTTAATGTGCAGTCAGGATTAAGAGCACTTGAGCTAGCGTGAAACACTGTAGGGTGGACATCACCTGACCATGGTTAAAAAAGAAGACAATGCCCAGGAATGTGGGTCAAACTACTGGGGAAGGTTTTCTATCCATGAGAAAATTCAGAATGAGCTGATTAAAGGAAAGCTTCAAGTTTATGAAGCAAGAGATCAAATTGCCCCTAGATGTTAAATTAACTTTAAAGCTCATGCAAAATATTGTCTGATAACCTGATTAAAGTTGCTTAACCCACTTATTTTTAGAAGAGGGTTTAGCAATAAGTGGAAGAATATCGAATCCCCTATCTCCATTCAGCTCAGGTTTTAATACCACAAGATGCAGTTTATCTCAATATCTCTTTATCTCGGGTAGTAGAATAAACATGAACTTTGGTAGCAGAAAGGAGTGCAAATTCAGTGCTGCCAGTAATTAGCTGGGAACCTCAAAGTGGAGATAAAAATATCTGCGGCTTAGGAGGCGGGCAAGGATGAAATAGATGGTGTATTGAAAGCATTCTTGTTTGGCTTTTGAAGCTGGCACTGGGTTAACTCAGGTTTAAGGTAAAGTTATTCAAGGAAAAGTAGGAAGGAGCCTCTCTGGTGGCCTAGGGGTTAAGTCTCACCACTATCACTGCTGTGATCTGAGTTTGTTCCAGGGCCAGGGAGCTAACCTACATGACACAGCAGACCTCTCCATAACTTGCCAGCTACTCCCTTCATCAGTGTTTCAGCAGATCCTCCTGTTCTGCTTCCCACTCTTTCAGTTGAATCCTCTCACCCCCCTACACCTCTGGACTACACCCCATTTCTTCTATGCAAAAATAAATAAATAAAATATTTTTTTAAAAAGAAAAGTAGGAAGAATGCAGCAGTCTCAAGCCCCTTCTAGACTTTCCCTGGGGCTTCTGCAGTATCTCTGGCCTGGGAGGCTGCTCTGGCAGGGCAGAACAGCCTTTCTTGACTCTGCCATCATCACAGTTCAAATACTTTCCATCTCTTTTTATGGACTGTGGATTAGTTGACTTTGTCTTGGTCTATTTTGAAGGCTGATTAGCTGGGCCTATCACGCTCCTATTTGGGGAGCCCAATTCAGGAGAACTTCCACCCCTGACCACTTCACAGGCAACTGACTGTACATGACTTCAGAGGCAGCAGTTAGGTCACAGGCACTGAGCACCATAAGAAAGCCTCTGCAGCAGGTCTCCCTGGTGGAACAAGGGGTTAAGCGTCAGCACTATGAAGCTATCCACAGCCACTGCAGCATGGATTCGATCCCTGGCCAGGGAGGTGACCCACATGGCACAGCAGACCTCTCCTGTCTTGTCCACTGCTCCCATCAGCAGGGTATTTCTGTCTACCTGTTCTGCTCCCAACTCTGTCTCTGGTGAATACTCTCACCGCTTGCACCCCAACTCTTGTATGCATAAATAAATTTAAAAAAAAAAGAAAAAGAAAGCCTCTGCAGGAATTCACAAACGCGTGGGGCCCTGTGGCAGGCTGGTGTCTCGTGGCATCCGGTACAGTGCTGTTACAGAGCAGCCCCATATAAAACAGGTTGCCTGGCTGTGGGTCCTCACCCACGCACTTAAAAGGGACTTATTAATACTTCACTGCAGGCACACACACAAGGTTAATAAAAGGTGTTATTTACAAGGGAAAGGGAATTGAGGAAATGCACAACTCAGGGAGAAAATAGGGAAATAAAGTCTTCAATGCGTCCTACCCAATCCACCGACCTGGAAACCCAAAGTGCTACGAGCTGGCGGAGAGCCAAAAAGGGAACCCCCCAAAGCCCACGTGTCTGGTTTTATACCAAACCTAGCTGCTTAACCCCACCCTCAGGTCCCAGCCACCTTCCCTTTGGTGGTGATGGGGTTTGTAGTTCCCAGTGTCTTTTGGCTTTGGTCTGGAGTGGGGGTGGAGTCCACAAAGCCTGTATAAAATTAGCTTTAGGACATCCTTTTCCCCCTAACAATGCTAGACCACACAACCAGCAGAGCCCACTAAACTGCAGCTGAAACTGCAAAAATATTAACTTAGTTGCTTGTGTGGCTATGACTCAATGTCCCCACTAGAGGGCAGGAAACTTTAAGATGGACTTTTTTTTTTTGGGAAACTGGTGGAAAAAACAATAATGATAACAATTATTGGAATAAAATAAATCATCATAGATAACATTTATAACGGAACACTTAAGGCCGGGAACTCCCCCATAGAGCTTTATATACATTAGTTAATTTATTTGTTGTATACTCTTCACCTCGTTCTTATCATAAATTGACATTATGCAGTTGTTAGTCATCTTGTTTTTCATTTTTATCCCCTCCACGGAACTGCAAGCTTTATGATAATAATGTCTGTTCAATACTGTTACGTGGCTAAATGTTAAATGATTGGAAACTTGACTTTAAGACCAAAAAAGTGGGAGCTGTTATGATTATAGTACATTGTGTTTTATCATTGATAAAATTGTTTTTAACTATTGTAATATATCTTTTGGTTTTTGGAAGCAATTAGGTTATTCGATACTAAAATCAGCAAGATTTCCCTTTAGAAGAACTTGTACTATTAACTTATCTTGATTAAAGCTTTTGCCATTGTCTGGAGGAATTTGTGAATATGCATTCAAAAAACTCTTATCTGCTGACCTCCTGCCAACCGCTATTCTAAGAAGTTTGTGTCCTTACAGAGGTGCTGTTATTAGCCTCATATGACAGATGGGGAAATAGGCACAGAGAGATTGGGAGACAAGATTTCAGAACTTTTAAACAGCAGAGCCAGGATTTCAACTCTAGCATTTTGGTTGTAAACTCCACCCACATAATCACTAAACTACCTCTGGAACTCACGTAATAACTTTACATAACCATTACATAAAGTAGCACATGCATAGGTGATAACTCTGACAAAATAAATCTGGAAGAACTTTTGTGCATTTTTCACAATAAACTTTTACTCTATTTGAAGTAACAGAGTGGAGAAAAAGAAAGCCAAAAAGGTCAGGAGATGTCCTTGTCTCTGAAAATCTTGTTTCTAGCCAGGGAGTTATTTTGTCATTACATGAAGAAACATCAAGTATGATCCTCTTTCCAGAAAACCTAACACATGAACCAACTAACATGCAAAGGCAGCATGTGGAGGTCATAGCTCTTTGCATGTTTACAAAAAAACAGAGCCCACAGTGCAGAAATCTTTTAATATTATCACATGGCAACACAATTTCAGCCAAGGAAGTTTTGCAATGAGAACAACAAACAATAACTCTATGTATGACTCAGCAATTCTTCTTCCAAGCAGAGTACCCCCAAAGAACTGAAACAGGTATTCAAACAAAAACCTACACATGTATTCCTATCAGCTCTATTCCCAGTGGTGCTATTAACTGCCAAATTGTCCATCAACCACCCAACGGGTAAACAAAAGGTGATTATCTCCTACAATGGAATATTGTTCAACCACAGAAGGCATGAAGTGCTAATACATGCCACGATACAGATGAACCTTGAAAACTTTATGCTGCATGAAGGATGTCAGACGCAAAGGTCACATGTTACATGGTTCCATTTATATGAGATATCCGGAAGAGGCAAATCCATAGAAAGTAGATTAATGATTGAGAGGGACTGAGGACCTAGGGGAAAGGAGAATAAGTTGGTAATGGGTATGGGGTTTCCATGCGCGTTTGTTGGGGGGAAAGGATGTCCTGAAAAAACTCCACAAATAGGTTTTATGGACCCCCCCACCTGCACCTCTCACCAAGGAGATCCGGGACACCAGGAACTACAGATCCCACAATGTCATCACCACCGAAGGGAGGGTTGCTGGGAACTGAGGGTGGAGTTGAGCAGCCAGGGTTGGTATATAACCAGACATGTGGGTCTTGGGGGCTCTTGGTTTTTTGGCCGGCTCTCAGCTTGCTATTAATTAGGGTTCCAGCTCAGTGAAACTGGAAGGACCCATTTCACCAATTTATCTTTCTCTTTCTCCCTAAGCTATTCATTTCTTCATTCCCCCCCCTTTTTTTGTAAATAAACCCTTTATTACCCTTTTTCTGTGTACCTGCGTTTGAGTCTCATTATAAGTCCCTTTTAAATGCATGGATGAGGACCCATAGTCAGGCCAACCATTTCACATTGGGGTTGCCCTGTAACAAGCTGATGTCATGTTTTGTAACCAGAGGTGATGGCAACACAGCATTATGACTATATTAAATGCCCCTGAATGGTTTACTTCCAAGTTGTTAAAAAGGTGAATTTTATGTTCATTTAAAATGTTTTAAATTTTATTTATACTTTAAATTTAAAAAATTAAATCAAAAAATAAATGTACCTATATTTTAAGACTACAAAATATTCCATTATTTCTGTACCATGAATCGAATCTTCAAAGACTTATACAGCCTTTGGTTAAAATGTGACCAAGTGTCAAAGCACTATCATTTGTTTCAATTGCTCTTTGCATTTGCTTAACAAAGAACAAAGAGCTCTCAGAGCATATAAGATTTTCAGCTCTTTGCTCATTGTAATGGTTTTGTGTAATGAACTGTGTGCCAGAAGTCTGTGGAGTAATGTAAACAAAAGATGCAAAAGTAACTTATACAAAATATGTTTGGGGTGAAAAGAGAGTCTAACTTACGTAGCACAAATTTTTTAAAACTCTCTATTATCTTGAGCTTTGAAATTGCTTAATCATTTAGGAATTAGGACAGGTGATACTTTGGATGCTACAGGGCAAGTAGGGAGTTCAGGACATGGTCTTCCCTATTTTGGCCACCCTTCAGCTTTTGTGACATTTTTTTCCTTCCTTACAGTCTCAGATGTCCCACTTTATTGATTTTTTTCCCCATATCATTTTGATTTTGCTTTTTTTAGTTTCCAAGATGACTTTCTTTCTTCTGTCTGTCCCTTAAATATCAGTCTCCTCTGAGGCTGGCATCTCCATGACAGATACCTCCTAGACTGAAAATTTCATTCATTTCTAAGACTTCAGCTAAGAATTTCATTCAATTCTATGACACATAATGGCTGAAGAGTTCTGTTCTTGTGCGGTCTATGAGACAGAGTGGGCAATTTCTCCTCCAAAATCCTCTTCCAGGAGTGGGGCCGATGAAGCTCCACCCAACCCAAACCATGATAACTGTGCAGGTGAGGAAAAGGGAGAGGCTTTCTAAGAAAACATAATAGCTCAGAAATAATGTCAAGTAGTAGTTATGTAGAAGCTCCATCGACCTAGACCACTCACTCCTTATTTTAATAGTTAGAACTTACTCATGGCCAGACACCAAAAGAAGTTAGACCCTGGGACAACAGAGCAGAAAGAAAGTATGAATCTCTTCTGCCAGTTGAGTGCGGGATTGAACAAAGTAACATGGAAGGTGGAACAGGAAAAGAAAGGGTTGATTTGGACTTTCTCTTCATTCTCTATTATACACCTGCCTGATGGAGAAACGTTTTCTATAATGAACTGTGTCACACAAATGGTCCTATCTGCATTTCCAGCTGAGATCTATCACGTTTCTGATGACTCAAAGGCCATAGGCAATTCAAAGGTAACATATAAAAAAATTCCTCCTCTCCCCACCTCCATCTTCTCCTCTCTGCTGCGCCATGTGGGTATCTCCCTGGCCAGAGATGCAATTCATGCCTCAGTGGCCGGTGATAGCTTGATAGCGCTGAGACTTTAACCCCTTTGCCTCCAGGGAGGCCTGATCAAGCGATGTTGTATAAGCCAAGGAAGGCCAGAGTTCCCAAAAAACCTCCAGAACTAAGTGAGAAGTGAGCTCCTGGGAGCAATCAACCTTGCTGACACTTTGATATTAGACTTCAAGCCCCCAGAACGGTGAGAGAGGCTGAAGCCAGTGGGCCGAGGGCAGGGGCACGCCCAGCTGTGGGTAAGGTAAATACCAATTACTATTTGCCTGGAAAATGCTGAGACCACAGGCTTGCATTGGATGCCAAAGAGGTGCACGCTAGGGACACAGGCTTCCCTGGGCTCAGTCATCCCCACAGCTGACTGGAGCTGGGCTTTCTCCTGGAGGGTATGTGTGGGGTGAGTAGAGATGTTGGGGGCACCAGGGCTACTGGGTTTCCCTCAGGCATGACTGCAGCGCGCACCTCCCCAGGCACCAGCTGTGAGTGTTCCTTGTGCCAAGTGCAAACCCGCCCTGTTTGCTGAGGAGCGCCAGGCTCCATTGACGAGGCGTGCACCGAGCAGGCATTTGGCATTCTCCGGCACCAGCTTCAGCTGCCAGGAAACCGGAGAGTTCACCGTAGCTCTTGGAATTGGATTCTAAACTTTAGGATTGAGCCCCGAAGCACCTGGAACAAGGCGACTCCTTCAGCTCGCGGGTCTCTGAGCAGCGGCTCTTGCTTTCTCTCCACCTCCTTCCCCTGGCCCTCAGTCTCCCGGCTTCCTCGACTGCCTGCCCTGTGGTGCTCCCCCTTCTCTCACCCACTAACCGCTCTTGCCACCATTGCTTTCTTCCTCCTCTTCTTCCGCCCCCTCAGACACCCTTCTCCTCAATTTTCCTCCTACCTTGGACTTTTGCTTCTCCCCTTGGACTTTTGCTACCACCTCACTCCCTTCCACATTCCTTTCCCCCTCTCCATAGCTTTACTGCGTCCACCTTTCTACTTGACCTGACATTCACCCCACTTTTCTTCTCCCCCTTCTCTCCCTGCCCCACACCCCCCTCTGCCTACCTGCTCCTTCTCCTTCTCCCTCCTCCTTGTCCTTCCATTTTCCCTCCTTGCCTCCCTCTCCCCTCCCCACCCGCCCTTGGCCCGCCCTTGCCTTCTTCCCCCGCCCCCACCTGTGTTTGCTTTTCTCCCGGATCTGGTCCGGATGAAGGGGTTGCCCTGCCCGTGCCTTACCCTGCCCCACTTCTGGCAGCTGGGGTCTCCCTTCATGGCTGAGGGCTCTGGGACTCAGGCCGTGGGGAACAGACCCCTGCTCAGCATCCAGCACCTCCGAGCCCAGTATGAAGGCCTGAGACGGCAGCAGAGGTCCCAGACCCACCTGGTGGTATACCGAAAAGGTAGGGCTGCCAGGTGCTGGGGCAGAAGAGGAGGGAGGAGGGCCTGGCTGTGGGAGGCTGAGCTGCAGGCAGGGCAGGGCCAGAGCTGGGCAGGCTCTCTGGAGTCAGGACAGTAGGCTCAGGGCGGAAGGGAGGCTGGGTCTGTCTGGCTTGGTCCCCCTTCTAGCTGAGCCAGAAGGCTCTGCCAGGAACCTGGCGGCAGAGCACTGTTCAGGCCTCTGCTCCTCTGTTCTGACCTTGCTGGACTGGCCCACCTGGTGAGTGGGGCTTGACGGCTGCTGGGCCTGGTGGGGAGGTGGGAGCTCTGTTTCTTGGCTGAGTCTCACTAAGCACTTAGGTCAAACCAGAGAAACTGGCTCTCTAGAGGAGACATGGTGTTTCCAAGCCTGGGCTCTGGTCAAAGGTAGCCCAAAACTCAGGGACCCACAGGCACCCCGGCTCACAGAGCTTGCTCATTCTAGCCTTGTGCAGTAGCCAGGGTCACTTGGCTGCACAAGGGGTTAAGTTGCAGCGCTATGAAGCTATCTGCAGCCATTGCAGCAAGAGTTTGATCCCCGGCCAGGGAGCTGACCCACATGGTGCAGCAGACCTCTCCTGTTTCGCCCATTGCTCCCCTTAGCAGTGTATTTCAGTCAGTCTGCCTGTTCTGCTCCCCGCTCTGTCCCTGGTGAATCCTCTCACCCTCCCGCACCTCTGGCCTGTACCGCAGTCCTTGTATGCATAAATAAAAAAAATCTCCCCTTCCAAAAAGATAAGAGGTCAACAACATGTAGGTGTTGCTGAAGAGCAGGCATGGATAAAGTTGTGAAGGATCAATGTGTGAAGTGATAAGAGACTGAGAAGAAAGTTAGAGTTCCTGAATACTCAAATATGTAAAGGAGGAGCAGAAGAAGGCAGAAAGCAGTTAAAATGAGGAGGAGGAATATTACTCAGCCATAAAAAAGAAAGGGAATTCTGACACAGGCTTGGATGTAGACAAAACTTGAATACATTATGTTAAGTGAAAGAAGCCAGGCACAAAAGGACATTTATAGGTGGTACTTGGTGTAGTCAAATTCGTAGAGTCAGAAAGAAGGAGAGTGGTTGCCAGGGGCAGAGGGAGGGGAAATAGACAGTCATTGTTTCATGAGTGCAGTTTTAGTTTAGGAAGATGAAAAAGTTCTGGAGCTTGGTTGTACAACAATGTAAAGGTACTTAGCACCACGGAGCTGGACAGTTAAACGTGGTTAAGATGGTACATTTAATGTTACATATGCTGCACCACAATGAAATTTTTTCTTAAATGGGGGGAGAAAATCAGGAGATATTAGTGTTATAAAGGTGAGAAGAGGGGATTTAGAAGATACTGACCCAGTGCCACCAGAAACCTGGGAGGACAGAGTCATCACTGAGATGTCTTAAGACATTTGGGGCACAATTGGAAGGTTAGGTATTCTGGGAGCTGACTGTTGAAAGGAAGGGCCTCAGATTTAGCTTGCTTCATGTCTTAGCAATATGGAGAGGATTTAGGTTCTAGAAACGAGGTCCCTGCTGCCCCATAAGGGCTCCAGGAGACTTTGAATGACTTCAAAGTCTATGAAACTCCACTGCACTAGTGGTTGGTGACCCAAGGCATAGGCTTTGTCACATTCAGGTGGTGTGTGATTCATCTCATGTAGAAAGGGCGTGGGGTGGGATTTCCTGTCTGAGCTGGGTGTTTTCTAGGTAAATTTCATTTAGCATTCTCAAGAGAGAACACTTCTGTAAGATCTCCATTCCATCCTTCATCCAAGAGAGAAATCAAGGAGGAATTCAAAATGTCCCTTCCCCAACTGCTTGCTTGCTTTTTCTTCCTTCCTTCCTTCCTTCCTTCCTTCCTTCCTTCCTTCCTTCCTTCCTTCCTTCCTTCCTTCCTTCCTTCCTTCCTTCCTTCCTTCCTTCCTTCCTTCCTTCCTTCCTTTCTTTCTTTCTTTCTTTCTTTCCTTTCTTTCTTTCTCTCTCTCTCTCTTCCTTCCTTCTTCCTTCTGTAGAAGAACTGGGGTGTAGGCCAGAGGTGTGGGGGGTAAGAGGATTCACCAGAGACAGGGTGGGGAGCAGAACAGGAGGATCTACTGCAATAAACTGCTAAGTGGAGCAGCGGGTGAGACAGAAGAGGTCTGCTGCACCACATGTGGGTTAGCTCCCTGGCTGGGGATGGAACTCAGGCCATAGAGGTGATAGCGCTGAGACTTAACCCCTAGGCCACCAAGGAGGCCCCCATCTGGTATCCTTAGCCAACTGGACCAAGAATGGACAATCAAGAAAGCATGCAGATAATTAAAATATTTTTGTCATCCCCAACCAACCAAAACCAGAACCAAACAGACAGAGAAGCATATGAAACCCACTGTGATTGTGGGTAACTGCTGGAGTCCTCTTTTGCTTGGAGAGAGGAGGGTGGCACATTCCCGCTGTGGATTGAACACAATGAACCACCCCTGCTGTGCTCCTCAGCAGGGTCTGCTCTGGGGGCAGAGTCCATTGTTCTTCCCCCCCCCCTCCTTCCTCCTCTGCGGACCCCTGGCTGGGGCTGACTACATAACGGGTTTCTCTGTTGCCAAGACCTGCCTGTCCACCTTGGGCCCTTTCCTGTAAACCCCTAGTGGGAAGGGATCCTGGCCCCTAGGTTCTTCCATCATGCCCTCGTCATCCTCCATTCTCAAATGAGTACACAGCATGTTGGACATTTGCAAAGGTTTCATATTGGTCATGCTGAGAAAATAGTAGTTCCACAGCAGGTACAAACCGTGTTTTACCCTGGAATTTGTGTTTACTAGGCTGTTACTAGGTCCTGTTTCTCTTGGATTCCTACAAATGGAGCTCTGGGCTCTTGCTTCTGACTTTACTCCTGTACCATCTCCTCACGCAGCCTCCAAGCACTCAGTCACCTACGGCCCTCCTGCAGAGAGAAGGCCAGAGCAGGAGGCGGCCTCCCTAACTTCAGAGGGAAGTCCAGGCTGGAAACAGGCCTCCTTCCCATAGGAAAATGCCTTTGGCCATTCCTGCCACCCTCGCTGCCCCCAAGAGTTGATAACCTACAATCATATCCCACAAGGCTGTACCAACACGCCCCTGAGAAAGAAGAGCGCATCAGCCTGTATGCTCATCCCTGAAGCCCATCCAGAGGAGCAGAGGCTTCAGGGGCAGAAGCCGTGTCTGTGGGACCGGGAAGGTTGGGCCAGTCCTCAAAGGCACCGCTTCCAAACACAGCTTCACCCATGTCCATCTGGGTGGGAGCGCCATCATCATAATCTCAGAGGAGTGGGAGGAGCTTCTCCATTCACTGGAGAATGTGTGAATCCCCATTTGTGGTGGGGGTTGACCCCATGTGCCAACTTCCTCCTCCTGCTTCTTATTCTTTCAGCCAGAAAGGATGGTTCCCTGGCACATCCGAAGCTCCCTCCCTCCCTCTAAACACTGAAGTTTATTATTAGATTCCATCATGCCTGAGCGTTTCCATAGCCTTGGTTACCACCTGAAATTGTATTATATATTCCCTTGCCTGTTTTCTACTCCGTTCACACACATTCATGAAGGTGTAAATTTTGTCTCCATGTCTACTGCTTCCCAGAAGCTAGAATAAGTCACTCCTGGCACAAACGTGCTCGATAAATATTAGGTGAATGAAAGAATCATTTGTGTTTGTGAGAGAGGGTGGGGGTTTTGTATGTATGGTGTGTGTGTGTGTGTGTCTCCCTAGACAGCTTGTGTGAGAAGGATCAAAGTGTGTCCATTACACACACATCCTCCATGTATTAGGTACCCGGACTTTCTAAGTCTGGGGCAAAGCCTTCCTGAAAACTCCGAGACCCCCAAATGAGAGTTGCCCACGTACCTTCCTTTGGTGACGCCGCTGTCCTTGCTTCCTCAGGAGAGTACACGGTGGCTCCCCCTGAGGCCATGGTCAGCAGCGTTTGGATTAACAAGGAGAGGAGGCACTCGCTGTGTCCGGAAGAGGCGGGTCCTGAGGTGGACCAGGCAGTAGAGGAGGACGGGGGAGGCTGTCTTCAGGCGCCGAAGTCGCCCTGGCACCAGCACCTAGAGACGCATCGCTTGTTCCAAACCTTCCCCCAGGAATCCCAACATCAAACAAAATATAGCATGGCATCGAAGCAAAATATCCCTCAGGAAGGAGACCCAGGAGTGTTTGAGAACAACCAGATGACTCAGCCGGGGACTCAGGGAGCCTGTCAGGTGGACAGTAGCCAAACAGAGGCTGTGGGATCTGCTTCGAAGGTCAGCTTTCAGTGCCCTCCTGCCAGAAGGGCCCCACACAGGTCTGGAAAACGAGCTCACTACCCATTTCCCCAGAGGAAAACGCCCAGGATCTCCCAAGCTGCCCGCAACCTGGGCCTATATGGCCCAGTTTGAAGCTTTGGAGACAGTCTGTTATCTCAACCCTGAGGCCATCTCTGACCTCACCGGAGACCAGAGGAGAGACAGCCACCAAAAGGGCCTCTAGCTGTGAGCAGAACTGGACTAGCTCAGTGGCAGTAATTGTGGGATGTGACCTACACAGTGAGCACATGGTCCTGTCCTCCAAAAAAGAAGAGACTGCCCAAGCGAGACTGCTCGCAGTTGAGGATGAGAGGGCGCTGTCTGCATGTTTAAGACACCACTATGGAGCCCCATGGCTGGGGAGGGCGGGCGGAGGGGAAAGCATTTTTTGTAGAGTCCACTGGGACATCTGTTTAGCCCCTAGAACTGAAGGGAGCACCTTAGAACTGACCTGAGGTCCATGAGTATGGGTAATCTTGTTTTCAATATTTTCTGATGTTTTCTCACATATTCTGAGGTAGATGGGTTCTGAGAATTGCCTTTTTTCCAGTGCTGAGCCTGGAGGCCAGTTCTCTTAGATGCCATTATGCTCATTATTGGTGACCACAGAATTTCAGCTTGAGCCTCTCCAAGTATCATCAGCATGGGTAGAAAGGGTCAGACCAATGCCACCTACTGTTTCAGGTCTTCAGGAAGCCTTGGTCATCTGTCACCTCAGTGAGACATCACAGCCAGCCTTTTCACAGACTTATTTCCATCCATGCTTCTCTCCATTACTCTCTGTCCTCCCTTCCCCTTCCTCCCTCCTCCTTTCTTCTTTCTCACCTTCCCTTCTCCCCTCCCCACGCGCCAAATTACATTCTTATAAAAAATTCCCACTCATTGATGATATATAGTAACAGAAGCCTGAACAAAAGGAGTCTTATACATATTCCAGCTTGGAAAATAATGAGTTCCCCATGCACTGCTCTTCTCAGTCAAATTCCCATCACTCAGATACTTCCAAGGATCAAAGATAAATGTATTTTCAGCCCCAGAGTGAAGCAGATGTTACTTGGCCGATGAGAGAGAAATATGCCTTTCTTGGTTAATTTTTAACTTTGTGATGATATTTAAACACACCTAAGTTACTGTTCCTGCATCTCTCTCTTAACAGAGAGTCTCTCTGTCAAGTTTCACTCCCATCTTCCTTTTAAATCCATCACCACCCAGTCTTACCCCCCCACATCCAGAATTATTGACCAAGGATGTCATTATCTGTCAAAAATATGCCTGTGCCTGCTCCTTGGAAAATCACTCCAGTTTGGGGATTCATCGACATTCTTTTTCTGAATAATTAACAAGAGTCATTTGATGTTTCACAGCCTAATAAAAAAACAAGGATATTTTCTAGGAAAAAAAAAAAAACAACTTTGCTCTTTGCTTTTTTTTTTAAAGATTTCCACAAATAAGGAGGGTTTCCCTCCTTTTACATCATTTACAATTTTTCTCTCTTCGTGGCTCAAAAACTTTTAGCAGGCTTGGCATGCATGCAGGGTCTTGCTGCCCTGCCCCCACAGTGAGGGTGTATGTGCGGACTCTGGATCCAGCAGACCTGGGTTTTAATCTGGCCACTGTTGCGTGATGTGGGCCAACCTCTCAGCTTTGGTTTTCATCATGTGTAAAGCGAGGGAGATGAGCCTCACTTTTGAACAGATTGGAAATAATGTGCATAGAAATTCCTGGCACTCTCTGTAAGAGGCAGCAATGTTTATTTTTAAAAGTTCAGCATTGAGCCGCCCTGATGGGGCAGGGGTTAAGTCTCAGTGCTATCAAGCTATTGCCAGCCACTGCAGCATGAGGATGGCTGGGGAGCTAACCCACATAGCGCAGCAGACCTCTCCTGTCTCGCTGGCTGCTACCCTCGGCAGTGTATTCAGTAGATCTGGCTGTTCTGCTCCCCACTCTGTCTCTGGTGAATCCTCTCACCATCCCTACACCTCTGGCCTGCACCCCAGTTCTTGTATGCATAAATAAATAAAAATAAATCTTTTAAAAAATCTCTTAAGGGCCTCCCTGCTGGCGCAAGGGTGTAAAGACTCAGCAACCTATGAAGCTGTCCGCAGCCACTGTAGCACGAGTTTGATCCCCAGCCAGGAAGCTACCCACATGGCACAGCAGACCTCTCCTGACTCGCCCGCTGCTCCCCTCAGCAGTGTATTTCAGTCAACCTGCCTGTTCTGTTCCCCACTCTGTCTCTGGTGTGTCCTCTCACCCCACACCTCTGGCCTGTACTCCAGTTCTTGTATGCATAAATAAATAAATCTTGAAAAAAAATCTCTTAAAATAAAAGTTCAGCATTGCTCTCTCTTTCCCTTCCACATATGCTCATGGGCCCACAGCAGGCTGCTTCTCAGTTCCTCTCCAAATTCATTGGCTTCTTCTAAGTCTTTCTTTTCTTATCTCTTCAGTCCACATTACTGTTGATTTCTTTGCCTTCTCCCATTCCTCCTGTAGTTGGGGGCACTCACCCCCAGTCTAAGTGTTCCTTATGTCAGGAACAATAATTCATCGTATTGTCCCAGCACAGAGACTAAGACTTAGCATGTAGGGATGTAGGGTGTTCAGTAAATGCCAGTCAACTCGATTAGTCTTTGTCACAATTTCCCTCTCCCAACCTGCAGACTCTTCCAGACTAACTTTTTAGCTTTCTTTATTGTGTTCTCCATGAAGAGTCAGTGAAGAATAATGAATAGAGGTGAAAAAAAAAAAAAATCACTCAAAGCAGAGGGAAAATGATGAGCAATGGCTCTGAAGGGTGAAAGATCTTAATGTAGTTCAGGAGTTGAAAGAAGTATTTCAACATTAGTGACCAAGAAGAGATGATGTGGTTGATCAATCAGGTTGGGCTATGTTCTGCTCACAACAGAAGCTTATTTTTCACTCATGAAGCGTCTACTATAGATATGGGTGGACTTCCAAGGCAACTTTCCTACCTGTATTACCAGAAATTCAGGTTGCTTCAATCTTATGGCACCACCATAAAGTAGTGGTTTCCCAATCACTGTGCCCACAGAAGAAGGTGCATTAATGGTCATGTACTGACTCTCAGGTTACATTTGCTTGAATTTTAGAGTCTAAAACTAATCACATGGTCCTATCTTCACTTCAAAGGTATGAGGAAGTGCAATTACCCCACGTGCCCAAAAGGAGAGGGGAAATGGAAATGTGAGTAAGCTACTGGCTAAATTCAGTGGCTGACAAGGTACATAGGGGCCTGGTCACGGTGCATTACTGATTTCACCCTGAATACAATAAATCGCATTGAGGGATTTACATATGGGACTAAAATGATTTGATTTGCAGTTGAATGAGATTAGTCCAGCTGTTATATGGAGAATTGAGTTTGAGGGGCAGGTTAACAGGCAATATCAGGAAAGAAATGGCCAGGGCAAGTTCTGTGGGAGAGACAGTGTTAGCTCAAACCAGGGAGGGAGCAAAAGAGGTGGAGAAAAAGTGGGTACAATTGATAGATAGTTTGGAGACAGAATGAATAGGATTTACTGAAGGGAATTTACAAGAACAGTTTGAGGGATACTGAGTTTTAGATGCTTGTGATATACAGTTCGTTGTGAGACATGAATGAACTAACAAGCAGACAAGTTCTGATCTAGAAATAGGAATTTACATGGGTCATGAGGATGAGGAAGGAGGACCTTACCCATGCAGAGAAGAGAGAAACAGGATCCCAAATGAGTCCTGAAAATTCCCAGTTTACTTAGTAGAGAAATCTCTAAGGATTAGAAAAATGTAAAAATTCCTAATTCTTACTTAGAATAGAAGGGATAGAGGGAAGAGGCAGTGAAAAACACTAGGAAAAAGGAGAACTGGGGTGATATGGAGTCACAGACCAGAAGGAGCAAAAAAAAAAAAAAAAATAGTACAAGAGGTTGCACGGGCCACTCCCCTGATTACAAACCTCTACACATGCTCATTGTCTAGAATCCACATTCTTCATTCTGGAGTTGCTATTTCTTGAACATGGGTTTAAAAACCCAGATTCCAAGAGACAGTTCAGAAATCTTTTCAGCCAAGGGCAGGCCAAGTCAGGGTTAGCACGTTCAGGTCAGCACCTAATGACCACCACCAAGCTGCTAGAGTGCCTTTGCCACAGAGGCCTGGCCCTGTCCTCAGGCCTGGGTCACATTCCCATGCCTGGGTGGGGCTAAGGATCTAGTGTTGCCTGTGGTAGAGCTTGAAGGCTTGGGGGTGGGGAGAGCTGGTTTTGAATCCTTATACCTCTTTCCAAAATGCTGCTTCTGCCAGGAGCATTAGACCAGAAAAATCTGTTTCTCAACACACTCACACATCTCTCCCAACCCCCTGAGCTGTCAAACTGGCTGCAGCAAAGGGCTCCAATTCCCTTTCAGCTGTCACATCTCCCAGGACTCTGACTTTCTCTGACTTAGCCCAGGACTGGAGCTAACTTTTCTCCCTGGAGCTAACTTCTCCTGCTGGTGTCAGCCATTTTAGCACTTTGTAACCTTGTATTAGGCAGGTCACCATAGGGTCTCCCAGCCTTCCAACCCCAGTGAGGCCTCCCCCATGGGGCTACTACAAATTGCACTTCAATCTTTCCTGAACTTTGGCAGATATGATCTTGGCCGAGTTACTTAACTCTCAGCACCACAGATATCCCAGTAGAAAAATGAGGTGATAATAAGCCCTGTTGGGTGGTGATGGGGACCTGAGGGTTGTTCTCATTCACTGTCATTTCTGCTCTGTCTCTGCTAGGGAGTAGGCTCCCCTGTGTCAGCTTAGCCCCAATTCCTAATTTTTTAGTTACCCCCCACACCAAGCAATTTCATTCCAGTTCTTGGCACTTGAAGCTATATTCAGATCCCACAAACCTACTGAGCCCCAGCACAATCTTGATTTATACCTTTGTGACTGGAGGAAGGGGCGTGGTCTTCTCACTCACTCCCCACCCCCCCCACCCCCGCCCCTGGTATACTCCCTGCTCTTCAGCTGCAGGGTAGGAAGGGCATCCTGGGAGCTTAGGCAGCTCTTTCTGTGATGCCTGTGAGTGTAGTTTCAGGCATCTATTCCCTTGATGCCTTACACTGACCTAGCTCTGGGTCTGCAGGCTTGGTGTGGACAGACTTAGGTTCCATGAACTTCTGCAGATGAGGAACTCAGTCCTCAGCTGCTGCTCTAGTACTGGGGTCCTTTGTGAGAAGGTTTGAGGCAGCTTAGGTGAAAGAAATTGGCAGCCTGTAGGATGAGCTGTCCCAGCCCTGTTTGAACAGGTGACTAAAATCATGGCTAGCCCTTCCCAAAAACCAGGGCCTCACCACACTGGCCCTGAGGCACC